TGGTGTTTTCTGTACACGTAAGCACCCGAGTTCAGCTGCCGCCATCTCTGACTCCAGGGATCACATGGGCAGCACGTGAATGGAAACAAAGCCTGGAGGTAGAAGGAGGAGGAATTTGGACGGAGATCAAAGATTAGCCCCATTCCACTATTCCCTCTGACTTTTTACTATCCAGTCTAAATTTGGCATTTTATGAGACATTTCTTTTATTCTCAAAGGTAAAACTAAGCTTGAATCAATCCAGGATTCCTCTGCCTTTGCTGGAGAAATGCACGCAATTGAGACTTTTATCACTGCATTTTCAATTTCTAGGAGCAATCAGTATGAAATGCATAGTACATGGGCTTGCATTAGAAATTCTATCATGAAAACAGCCGCTATAGCCCTGGTTAAGTCACAGAAGAAGCTCTTTAGAATACTTAATAGTACTTGTGACCTTGTCTGGGATATTCTATGTTTCCCCATGTTGTGGATGCCGACTGTTGCGAAGGACACCTCTGAACACCTCGCATCTCTTGTTTTCTGAGCATCTCTCCTCCGTTCCTACTCCCTGGGTAACACTGGCGCTCACTGCCATCAGCCTCAGACTGAAGAGGCCAGTGTGAAATAATCAGCAGCTCCACAGGCGTGAGGGGACTGACAGTGGGGAAGCTGTTGTTGCTTGCTGTCCAAGTACTGTTAAACAGGATTTCCCAATCACATAAGAATACAGGACATGCAGAAGGTGACTGTTTTGACTTCCATCCAAATAGTAGTAAAGCGGTTAAACTGACCTTACAGTACTTTAGGGGAGTTGTGGGGAAGTCACTTAGGGGTCATAGCAAAGACCAAATGTTAGACCACAACTGAAAACTCTACGGTTGTTGATTGGGTGAGTGCTCCTGTTCATTCCAGAACATGAAATGATATTATTTATTATGTTTTGTTGTTGTTGTTCTCACGGAAGCCACTTTGCTTAAGTTTGTGTTCTTACTACTTGAGCATCCCATTGGTTCTAGCTTTGTTCTACCAACGACAGTTCAGGGATCTCTTTTCATGTGTGAGACTGCAACACTACAGAGAAAAGCAAGTGTTCGATGGAAAGCAGCCGGACATGTCTTTAGATCATGCACTTCTGTGTTCAGACTGATTCTTGCAGGGTCAGTCTTTGGCGTGTGCAGACATGCACAAGTGTTCCAGATGTGTGCTACATCAGTGAGAGGACAAGGAACCATGTGTGCTCTCATTTAGAAAGAGTAATAAAATGAACTAGAATTTTGAGTTCGTGAAAGCACCAAGTAGGTGACAAAACTGAAGAGCGGGAAGACCATTGATTAACAAAAGCTGAGCAGAAAGAAGGGCTGACGAGGTCGAGCAAACAGGCTTCTTAGGGCAGATGCCACAATTCTTGGATATCTTCAGGATAGTGGCATTCTACCTTCATCAGTCTCCAGAGACTTGTAAAATACAAAGCATGAAGCATGGCTGTAGACTTTAGTTCATGATAATACATTATTATTCACTTAGAAACTATAGAGAATGTAAAATACTAATGCAAGCTAGTAACAGGAAGAGGAAGGGAATATGGGCTACAATTTATACTTACTGGTCAATTTCTTTGTAACTTCCAAACTACTCTGATAGATATAATTTAGTAATGACTAAAGTGTATTTGGTTTAAAATTAAGTATTCTCTCTGTAAGTTCAGAAAACATAAAACAAAAGTCATGTTGAAACAATTCTTTTATTTTTATGTATTTACTATGCAATTATTCCTGTAAGTAGACAGGTTTGTATGATATGATGAGTTTAAAAAATATTGAACAAGAATGTTCCAATTTGGCAACATGAAAGAGCGTTTTTCGTCAAATACTTTGACTTTAAACTATCTTAAAGCATTAAGGTAAATATTAAAAATGTACCTCCAAGTTTATTGATGACATATGAGGAGCTGAAGGAAGTGGAACAAATACTAGAGATGTTAGTTAGTTAGTTAGTATTTGTCCCAAAATCTTCATCTTCTGAACACTGTTTCTTGGATGTTTGAACAGTCAAAGTGTGGTCCTATAATGGGGAGGGACTGAAGACCAAGAACATCAGATGGCCGACTCAAAAGAGAAAAGCTGCAGCTGAAAGGTTGCCAGCCTATTTGGTCTGTTATTATCAAGAGGAGAAAAGAAAGCCAGAAAAAAAGAAAAAGCGAAGAGGTGGGAAAAAAAGTCAAGCAACTTCCTCATGAATGTGATCAAATTTCTGGTCCATGTTTATGATAACCATGCAGAATCAAAATCCTAAATCATCCCTTGAATTCAAGATGGTAGAATGGACCTTGGTGATGTTTTTTTAAGCATTTAGCAGAAGAAACTAAACTAGACTCTACCGGGCTTGAAAGACAGATACTACATTCAATAAGGTGTCTTTGCTAAGTTTGATACGATAAAGTATAATAGAACAATGGATAAAAGCAACTGAGTTTTCTCCTCACCGTTGTCAAACCTGTAGCGGAACACCAACATGGTTAGTTTCAGAGAATGGTTCTGTACTTACAGCTTCTAGTGGCCTCCTTGCCAGAAAAACAAACAGAAGGGGGAAAACCCGAATGTTTAGAGTATTCTTTGGCATTCCTGGTTTTTTTTTTTTAAGGCTCTAAGCTCATTCATGAGGTTATCACCTAATCACCAAAAGGCCACCTGTGGATACCATCCCCTCGGCAGTTAGGATGCCATCATATCGACCTGAGGAGAGTGGGAATGTGGTCACAGACACTTGGTCTCTCACACCAGGCTGCAAAGATTTCTCATATATAAACTGTGTATGAGCTTGATAGACAAAAAATAAAAGCAAAAGAAAACAAAATAGAACTAGGAAACTAAAATAAACTGTGGAGATGAATCAAGACAAAAAAAGGAAGAGCCAACTAATATGAAAGAATTTAAATACAAGATGCAGCAAGTAAAACATGCTGAAGGAAATACAATGAATGCATAGAAGACACAAGCACAGAACAGGAATCTATAAAAATAACTGGGAAATTATGAAATATAAACAAATAGAAATGCTGCAATTAAACAACATAATCTCTCAAAATTAATAATGGTTCTAAACATCAAGTTGGAAATTTCTGAAAGAAAAAGTTTGAAAGATAGTTCTGAAGGAAAAAAATCTATGTAAAAAGAGAAAATATTGCTCAAAAATCTAAGTTGAAAATATGAAAGAATTTAGGAGATATTGGTGGCAAAGTTTACATACATCTCATTGGAGTTGGAAATTATAAAAGATAGAAATGCAAAATTTTTCAAAATATTTGAGAATGTAAATGATAGAATGAATTCATAGAAAAATATAAATGAGGAAGAAATAGCACAAATAGTCCTATAATCCTTCAAAAAATTGAATCAATAGTCAAAAACCTTCATCAGAGACAAGTCGAAGCCTAAATTACATTAGAAGAAATATTTATCCAACATTCTAGACCAGATAACAAGACAGGGCTCTCTAGCTACACCACAATCATAAGCAACACGAGAACGGAAAATTAAAGACTAACCCTATTTGTGAACGTAGATCAAAACACCCTAAGAAAATATCGGTGAGACGAATTGGACTCAAACAGAAAAATAATGCACCAGAAGAAAGTTTATTTTATGTCACATGTGCAAAGATGGCTTCGTGACAGAAATGCTCATGGATGCCTTCTAATTCACAATGTTCCCAAATGTTAGGGGAAAAAACCCAGTCCATGTAGAGGAAAAATGAAACCAAATTCTACAACTATTTAAATAGGAACTTCAACTCAAACTAGAAAGGGAAAGCTCCTCTCTTACACATAATGAAACCATCATAACAAGACACTATTCATCCACCTGCTCAGCAAATCCCACCACAGGCTGGTAAGGGTATAGCAGAACAGAATTGGAAGCCCCGTGGGCATTGCTTTTAAGTGTGAGGGCTACTGATGGACCTTTGGAAGAAATCTGGCATTACTTAATGGGTTTTAACTCACAACTTCATTCCATTCTTACATATGTGCAACAGAAGACCTTCATAAGATAATCTTGGCAACGTTGGTTGCAACAATAACAGTAATGAAAAAGAAAACACTAAAGGTTTTGTAACAATACCACCGAATATAATAGATAGAAAACTCGGCAAGAAATTCTGTAGAGATGAGATTGCCTACTAGATAGCAAAGAGTTGTAGCTTCATGCGTGCACAGAGTAGAGAAAGCAAGATTCACGAGGCGAGGAGAGCAAGCTGCATACATATGAATCTGCTTTTGTAAGGGTTGAAGGGAAGCAATTAAACAAAGAAAAACAATAGAATTTAAAAAGCGAACTCAGACTCCTCATTCCTACATGGAGGGAGCCGACGCTACTGGACGCTACAGGCTTCCGACAGAAGGGCCAGCACTGTTTTCCTTGAGAAGCAAGTGAAGTTGTTGTCAGTTCAATCGTGGCCTATTAATGAATAGATGTTTTTTATATATTTGCATTTATCAAATATTTTATAGCAAAAGACTGTAAAAATTGAACCATGTGTAATAGTCAAGTTTACTTTCCTTTTATAATAACAATTAATGAGGGAGACAAGAAGCATGTGACAAACAAATGGGATGAGCAACCTTGTTAACATGATCTGTGTGTGTGCGCGTGCATGCGCATGTGTGCACATATGCATGCACATCTCTGGGGAAGGGAATGTAGTCATACATTCTAGCCAAGCACTTTACAACTGGTTTGCTTTCAGACCTTCTTCAAGTTGTCACCAGATGGTTACACACCCTGCTGGGCGAAGAGACAGGTGAAGAACACAAACCTTGTGATAGTTCTTATCTGTAGGATCTTGGGCTTTCACGCCCTTGTCTGTAACACTGAGAAAATAAGATGGGCATTACATGAAGTACACTAGAAAGTGCTGAGAATGCTGAACAGGAACCCTGACAGAGTAAACCCTCAACCACTGTTACCTGCGCCTACTTTTCCTTCATTTAATGCTTTAAAATGTTCTCTTTTCTGTGGTAGGCTTTGGTCACTTGACAAAGCAGCTGATGACACTGGCCGATGGACGTGTGGCCTTGGCTCTAGAAGGAGGCCACGATCTGACAGCCATCTGTGATGCGTCTGAAGCCTGCATAAACGCCCTTCTAGGAAATGAGGTAAGAACCAAAGTACAGGTCATGTGTAAGAGGAGGAGGACGCATGCAAGTGTGTTTTAAAGTTGATCGTGAACCTAAGAAAGAACGTTCTACATAGCTTTCACCATGAACGACGTAGGCACCAGAAGTTTCTGTGCTTCGGAGTGACATGATGTGGTGTCTTCCCTGGTAGTGTGTCCACACAGCGTTCCTGCCAATCAGATTATTAGACAGTCAAATGCTGAGCAGTGAAAACCCTTGGAAAGAAGAATGTTTTGTCTACTGACCCAGTCAAACGAGCACTAAATCATTTAATGTGAAACTAAGCTTTTAAAAGTTTTTGAGATTCCCTGTAGGGTTACTGTCAGAAAAACAAAGCCATTTTCAAATAATCTTAGGCTTTTTTTTTTCATCATTTGAAAATTTTTTTTCCTAAGGTTGCCATCATGTCTTCTCTTCCTAGAGTGATGAGGTACTTAGGTTTTTATAGTGAATCTATGGCAGGTTAATGAATTGGTTTTTGGTTTCCTTTTTTAGTTTGGGGGAGAATTTTACCTTTCTATTGTGAACTTGAACTGGAAATGTAACTCTTCTTATTCATGAAATAGTTCTTGAAATCTACCTTTCGCGATTTTTTTTAAACAAAACCTTAGGATATTATGTGTATATTCATGGGAAGTTACTTTTTCTTCTGTACGCTGAATGCAGAACTCGTGCTGCTGTTGTGATCATGAGTCTGAAGTCACACCACATGATTATTTGCCATATTTATTGAATAAGTACACTTATAATTCTAAAGAGAATTGCAGCACTGACCGTGTCGAACACTGTCGTACAACTTTAGACAGTGCTCAGAGCGCCGACTTCAGCCTCCTGGAGAGGAGTTTAGGGAGAATGTAACAACTTAATGATTAGCATCAATAATAGGCTGCCTTTCAGTTCATACATCATTCACAGTATCAGAGATGAAAAGATAGTCTTTCTGTGATTGCTGTAGGCTAGTGATGTCAAACACAATGTGGAGTTATTTAGAGGTAGGCAACCAAGGAGGGTCAAAAAGCTGGGTGTATGTTGGGGGCATCGATTGTAGCGGGCTCTGCTTGCCCACCAGATAACGTTTGTTTTTTGAACCAAATGTATATGGCTCTTAATCTCTTTTATAAGCTTAAAGGCTATGAGAGTGTTTTTGTTAAGCAGAACGGTGGTTTGCACCAGAAAGTCAGGATGAGCTGTGCATTGCGGCTTCACAGATTGTCCGCCTAGACAGAAGCATTACCCGACAGCCCAGGCAGACGCCTTTCCAGCTTCATGGAAGGCACCTATAGACTCAGAGCCTCACTTTCAGTGCGGTCATTAAGATGAGTCCTTTTCTATTGAAATCTCTGTGCTCAGCCAAGTTCTCACTTCCCAAAAGCATCCCAGTGAAGTAGCTAACCTTTCCAGTGATCTTATATTTTAGGGAACACCAGGTTCTGACCTAGGGGATAAAAGCATGATTCGCCAATCTTAGTCAGTCTGCAGGGTATAGAGACGGCCCACTAATAAAGCTCAGGAAGTAATAACCAGAATTATTTGGGAGAGATATTGATTGTGTAACTGACTTTAATTCTCTGGATATCGTTTAGTAAGTTTTATCTTGCAATTTAATAGTCTAACCAACATCTTGCCTCCTTCTGTTGGCCATCTTCAATTGCATAAGCAAAATCTAAAATTTGTTTATCCCGCTCTACAGAAAGGGGAGTTTAGTTTTTCCTATTAAAGATTCTAGGGATGTAGACAGGGTTATAGATTCCCTACAGGATGTCCTAGGAGTGACAGATGTAGCTGGTAAACTGAGCACTGAAAGGTAAATTTTGTTGCAGCAGATCTATCTACACCAAAAAGAACAAAGCAAAGAGAGAAGGGGATTTTTTAAAATGAAAAGTGGAAGAAAAATCCAAGTGTGCTGTACATTATAATTCATGTAGAAAGAGGAAATGAATGTGTAATACTTGAAACAACTCGAGAAACAAAGAGTTCTCACTTTCATTGACAATATAATTTATAATCCAATGCCTGGCTTGGGGTATTTTCCAGGTCAAAGGTCACTGTGACTACATTGAAGTTTTAAATTTCATTCCTGCAGAAAAAAATAATATATAAGGCATATTGCATGTGCCTCACCATTTAACCAAAATACCTATGTGTAATTTCCACAGCAGTTTTATGTGGTAATCTCTGGATAAGAAAATAAAAACGACGTCGTTCAGATACCAATTACTGCAATTTAAAAATCCCAATTTCCCTCCACCCCCCCACGAGTGATTAATAGAGCAATTATGACTTATTACCTGGGATTTCACTTTTACAAATAACAAAATGTGGTGAAGCTGAAGCTTCAAACACTGACAGCACCAACGAGCTTCCCGACCGCGAGGTACGATTGAGCTCAAATTAGAAAGGTCAAGAGGGCTCTGCCAGGGACTCTGCACTTCGTCAGATGTATTTATTCATGTGTAGAGGATTAGAATTTATAAACATTTTGCCAGGTTTTTTTTCAATGTCATTTCTTTTTCTTGTTGTTCTTGGCTGAGCCTTGTCAATACAGCAAAATGCTGCTGCTGCTTCTAACTTATCATCGGCAAAATAATACAAATTTCACAACCCCAAGGAACTGTTGGATCATCAGGAGGCACTGGTTTCATTTCTCTTGCAGACACATAGATGGGTACCAAAGACTATTCTTTTAAAAAATGCTATCTAAACCTTTGCACCTCACACAGGCATTCTCTTCTTTTCAAACACTCCCAGCACGGGAATGAGCTACTGAGCAAAACACCTAGCTGTTCTTTTCAAGAAATATGTGCAAATATGGTACCGGAAATTCCAGGAGGAGCCGAGTTTTTTTTGAAATCATACTAAAAGTTTTTTATTTTTAATTTATTCTTGGCCAAGTATGGAACTGGGGTTTATCCGTCAAATCATATTATGATGAATATTTTTTAACATTTTCACTGAAGCCCTTAAAAACTCCAACTTGGAGTTTGAGGAATTAAATATCTAAAATGAGAAAACTCACGAGATTGATTGGAAAAGGGTCAGGTAGAGTTCTGTGAACTGTCACATCGTTTTAAGATTTAGCGGCAGGAATGCACATGAAGTCCCTGGAAGACTTTCATTCTGGTCCTTTGTGTTGGCGCTGCCTAGAAAACACAGTTTCCTTAAGGCCCTGTTCAACTACTGTTCTGCAAAGCCAATTAAAAGCACCTCAGTTTGCTTCCTCTGAAAGAAATCTGCTTTAGAGGTGAGAAAAGCTGTAGGCCTTTCCCGTCCCTACGGAATCCAATCTGGAAACAAGCTTTCTGGAGAGTGAAGAGGGCGCGGGAGTAGAAGCTTCGAGCTGCACCCGTGAGCTGGCAAAGGTCACAGACGAAACGGGCATGAACAATGGGCTCAAGCTTGATAGAAAGACAGGAGGATTTTTGAAAACTAAACCCATATTTTCACAGACTGTTCTTACTCAGTAATGCTTGATTTCTGGTTTCTTTCCTTTTTCTCCTTTTATCTTTCTTTCTGATTCCTCCCTTCCTTTCTCACTCCCTTCCATCCTTCCTTCTTTTCACCCCACTCCCTCTGTGTTTCCTTTTCTCAAGCTTCTTAAAAAAATTACTATTGTCTTCTAAAATACACTCAGCGGCTTTTTCTTTGTCTGGGGTTTCACAGACAGTGGCTGAATATGGAGATTGCCTTTGTTTTTAAAGATGGTTTTATGCTCTAAAGATGCTGGATAAAAAAAAATAACCTCTTTAACTAATTCCTGGAGGGTGTTGACAACTATCCCTGAGGTGAACCCTTGAGAGATTATTGTCCAAGTTGCTCACTTAGGGGGACGGGGAGTGTTTGCATTGGATTTTACATAGAGACATTGTTTTGCTATCTTTTTCATCTTTTAGATTATGTATGACTGAGGCTGAGTCCACTGGGGAATTGGTGTGAATCTGGGAATGCTTGCAAGATCCTAAGTAGTTACGATTCATGAGTAGAGGAGGAGAGAGAGCGTATGCTATGCCAGAATGACATTTTCCTCTGTGGCCTTCTTAAAGAGTTTGATACCTGCCTGTATTCCAAAAGCAGTTTTGTGGGGTATCTAAAGGGAATAAAATTGTTTTGTAAAAATATTATCTGAATATTCTTTCCAGTATAGATATGGCCTGGGAGACCGTTTCTTATATTCAGAGATGAGTATGAGAAGGAGAAGCATCTGCTTCAGGAAACGCTTCATGATCAGATAACTCAAAACTGTGCAAATCATCTCAACTATCTCTGTCCAGGTTGTTAAGACAGAGTTAAAAGAAATATGGGTTGTGAGTTTGAACACATCGTGGATTATAGTTACCAAAAAAAAGAAAGAAATCATTTCTTTTTAATAAAGAACCAAACATCATGGAATGCTTTTATCTAATGTTGCCATTTATTGGGTATCTATTGTGTGAGGAAAGTTTCTAATGCAAGCAAGTAATGGTGACCTTGTCAAAGATCCTACGGGTGCAATGCGGGGATATTTATCTATCTTCGCTGGTTGGTTTTTCAAGACAGGGTTTCTCTGTAGCTTTGGAGCCTGTCCTGGAACTCCCTCTGTAGACCAGGCTGGCCTCGAACTCACAGAGATCCACCTGCCTCTGCCTCCTGAGTGCTGGGATTAAAGGCCTGCGTTACCACCGCCCAGCTGGAGGATATTTATTTTATCTCTAGGAATGCTAGAGTATTTTACAGAGAAATAGCACTTAACCTTGATGTTGGGTACAAAGTAAGACTTTGACAAGTTAGTATCTAAAGAGAAGATACATTATATAATAGGAAACATAAAGATACATTATATAATAGGAACCATAAATGAGGACAGTGAGGCTCCTTGGAATTTCCAAAGACTCTGGCTGGATACTCTTGCTTTGTTTCTGATATTGAAGAGTCTAAGGAAAACTTGAGTCTAAGAGTCAGAGGAGTAAAGCAGGCGATACATCTGGGCAAGTGAAAGAGAACAT